CTAAGGCCGCCTCTGGCAAGGGGGCAGGTAAGGCAGGTGTTGGGGGGAGCGGTCTCTTCCTCTTTGCTGCCCAGAGCAAAGGAAGGCATCCTCCCATCCCTCTCCCAACCATGCGCCAACGCATGAGTGCATGTACTAACCTCGGCCTGAGCCCAAAAGGAGCTCCGCTTGGTGTTCAGGATCTCCAGGGCTGGATTTGTCTTCTTGTAGTTGGTGCCCTGAGGAAAAGCAGATGGGGGTCAAAGCTGGGAAAGGGGGTTGGAAACAAGCACTGATTACATTGCTGGCACTTTGCATCCCTTTGCACCCCTAGAAGCACAACGGCCTCGTCTTTGTCCTAAAATTGTGAATAAAAGTAATTGGCAGGTGTGGTTCCAGGTGTGGCACTGAAAGTAAGGCTGGAGAATTGGACACAGGTAAGAATCCAGCTCCAGTGCAGCTGCGGAGCTGCATGCAACAATGAGGACCTGTTTGGCATTGGATTTTACCTGAAAAATCCCCAAGGCACCCAAAATATTTTCCAAAAAGGCCCAGATTGCCATGAGACAGCTGCCAAACACGGCAGTTGTGCCTCTCCAGTGCTTTAAGAAAAATGAAATGACTGAAACACATATGGAAGTGGTGTGAGGTCACCCCAAATTGGGAGTGAATGGAAAATGGTTCAGTTCGTTCCTCCAGGACCGGAAACAGAGGGTGGAGTGGTGAGGCCAAAGCTCTGAGAGCTCCTGCCTTTGCTGTGGAGTGAGTTCCCCAGGGTGCCATCCTCTCGCCCCTCTTGTTTAACATCTACATCCGGCCACTTGCTGGACTGGTGCGGAGCTTTGGCCGAGAGTGCTACCAGTATGCAGATGATACCCGGCTACTCTTGCATCTCGAACCTGGGACAACCACGATTCCTGAGAACTTTAGGCTGTGTTTGGAAGCAGTGATGAGTTGGCTGCGAGCGAGCAGACTCAAAGTGAATCCTGCAAAAACGGAGATCCTCTGGCCCGGCCAGCCGCCAGAATTAACCTGTCTCTGCCTGATTTCGATGGGGAAGCTCTGGTTCCGCCTGCCACTGTGAAAAGCCTTAAAGGGGTTGTGTTGGACTCATCGCTGACGATGGAGGCCCAGATCACTGCCATAAGGAAGCAGGCCTTTTCTCATCTTCGCCAGGCAAGGAAATTGGCATCCGACCTTTCGGTAGAAGCATTGGCAACGGTAATCCACGCAACAGTCACCACGAGGTTGGACTATTGCAACGCCTTCTATGCCGGCCTTCCGAAGTCAACAACCCAGAAGATTCGGATGGTCCAAAATGCGGCGGACAGGCTGCTAGCGGGATCATCTCTAAGATCCCATTTTACTCCAATTCTGCAACAACTGCATTGGCTGCCAATAGAACATCGGATCTCTTACAAGATCCTGATCCTGACATTTAGAGCTCAAAATGGCCAAGGACCTTGATATCTTAGGGACCGCCTCATTCCTTTTCTCCATTCGTGGTCACCTCGATCCACCCAGGAAAATCTCCTCTACATACCAGGCCCTAGGGAGGGACACCTGGAAGCTACAAGGCATAGTAGAGCTTTTTCGATCTATGCTCCAATTCTGGGGAACTCATTGCCTCCATACGTTAGAGCCATGTCGGAGTTGCAACCTTTTGTAAAGGCACTCAAGACTTGGCTGTTTGGTTGTGCGTTGAAGTAATCAGATCTAATTTGCCAAATAGTCACTGCTGAATGTTTTTATGTTGAATGTTTTTATATTGTGCAAATGCTATTTTATATTGTAAGTTACTCGGAACACCTTGGTGGAGAGCGTAAATGAAGTGAAGTGAAGTGAATGGTGGGGTGGTCCTGCGAGGAATGTAGGCATGCAAAATGGCTCTCCCTGCCTTGACCACAGGTGCCCATTCCTGCCCAAATCCCACCAAAGGAGGGAGCTCTCTTCCAAAAGGACCTGACAATGATTGGCGGCCTCCAGGTGTCCCCCCGAAACCCTTCCCCCTTCTTACCACCTGCTCCTCTGGGTCCCCGAGGGACTCCTTCTTGCTGGAAGTGCCCGATGATGGAGCAGCCCGGGACAGCCTTTGTGCCAACCCATCTTGCGTCACCTCCTCGGCCTGGCTGGCTTTCAGCACCAAGTTGGCTTCCTGCAGAAGGAAGAATTATTTATATTACCATATATATACACAAGTATAAGCCGACCCGAATATACGCCAAGGGACCTAATTTTACCCCAAAAAACTGTAAAAATGTATTGACTCAAGTATAAGCCGGGGGTGAGAAATGTAGACAGTTTTAACTAGTGGATTTCAACGTCAAGATAAGTGATTTTATTGCTTTGGTATGTGTATGGTCTAATGTGTTTCGGTATTGAATGTTTGCCATTTATATGTTGTGCTCCGCCCTGAGTCGGGGTGAGAAGGGCGGAATATAAATGCTTTAAATAGATAAATAAATAAAAGAAATATTATTATTAAGAAGGAGCCCTGCCTGGCTCCTGTGCTGTAGCATCTTTTTGCTTTTTAAGTCCCTTCCGCTGTGTTTTTCAATGTTTTTATGAGTGATGGTCACTTGTTGTTGTGATGGTCACTCCCCCCACAGGCACACATTCAAGGCTCCCTGGCCCCAAATTCCTGGCATTCTACACCCTTGGGAACCAGATGTTTACATCTGGCTGAGAGCAGACAAGGAAGACGGGAGGGAGGCGGTGTCACTAGGGAGGGGAAAGGAACGCAGGCAGAGTCCATGCGTGAATCCGCGCATGCCCAGCAGACTGGGAGAAGCAAGGGAGCTCGGTGGTCAGCCGAGTGGGGTGCCGGTCAATGTCCCCAATGTAGAGCCAAACACACCAGTTACCATTGTGGCTGTGTCTGACTCAAGCATGTAAGACATTGGGCATTTTTTTGTGCAACCTTCAGTGCAAGATTACAGAGAAGATTGTGCTATGCAGTCGTTGCGTATGCTTAGCCACTGATGCACATTTTGTCACATGCACATTACACTTCATTAGCAAAGTTATGTTGGAGCATGCAAAGAATCAGTCTCTGTATGTGTGTGTGCGTGTCAACTGTAAAATAATTTGCATAAAGCTGATTGGCAGTGCCCAGGGAAATGGCTGAGCCTGGGACTTTTGGATACTGTTACATTTTTGTTCAGGCTTGAGCTGATTGGTCAGGCAATGCCCGGACAGCAGGCTGAGCTGCAGTCTTTGCAGTTCAATGATGATAATAATAATAATAATAATAATAATAATAATAATAATAATAATTATTATTATTATTATTATAATATTTTGCTGGAGTTGCACTTAAAAATAGTACATTATAGGGAAGAATTTTGCTATTGTTAACCGCTCTGAGTCGCCCGAGGGCTGGAGAAGAGCGGGATACAAATATAGTAAATAAATAAATAAATAAATAATAAATTACTGCCTTTTATTGACTTATTACTTTTTGGAACCTTATTTTCTTTCAAGCATTTATTTCTTCTGGCTATTTACTAAGCTTCAATAAAAGAAGATTTGTTTCTTCACTCTTCGTGTGGCTTTTCCCTGCCTTTTACTGACTTGTTACTTTTTGGAACTTTCTTATTTTCTTACAAGCATTTATTTCTTTATTTACTAAGCTTCAATAAAAGAAGATTTGTTTCTTCATTCTTCGTGTGGCTTTTCCCTGCCTTTTATTGACTTGTTATTTTTTGGAACCTTCTTATTTTCTTACAAGCATTTATTTCTTCTGGCTATTTACTAAGCTTCAATAAAAGATTTGTTTCTTCACTCTTCGTGTGGCTTTTCCCTGCCTTTTATTGACTTATTAATTTTTAGAACCTTCTTATTTTCTTACAAGCATTTATTTCTTCTGACTATTTACTAAGCTTCAATAAAAACAGGTTTGTTTCTTCACTCTTCATGTGGCTTTTCCCTGCCTTTTATTGACTTGTTACTTTTTGGAACCTTCTTATTTTCTTACAAGCATTTATTTCTTCTGGCTATTTACTAAGCTTCAATAAAAGAAGATTTGTTTCTTCACTCTTCACGTGGCACGTTTTAAAGTCAGAGGGCTTTTTCCTGACCTGGAGTGTAACAGCGAGGCCACTCTCCCACAGGACTTACCTTAAAGAAGGTACGGATGGCAGGCAGGTGCCCGGCACAAGCTTGGCGGCGCTGGTCCGAGACCCTCTCGCCAACCTGGGGGCAAAGAGACGGCTTAGTCCTTCGCTCCTGTTTCACCCAGGTGTAATCTCTGGGTGATCAGGAGCTGCAAAGAGGCTTAAGTGATGGTTCCAAAATGCCAAGCCCATGAGCAATCCACCTTCACCATGCAAAGCCCTCTGACACTAACAGTGGATGCTTGAGCACCAGAAAACTGTATTGTTGAAGGCTTTCATGGCTGGAATCACTGGGTTGTTGTAGGTTTTTTCGGGCTATATGGCCATGTTCTAGAGGCATTCTCTCCTGACGTTTCGCCTGCATCTATGGCAAGCATCCTCAGAGGTAGTGAGGTCTGTTGGAATTAGGAAAGTGGGTTTATATATCTGTGGAATGACCAGGGTGGGACAAAGGACTCTTGTCTGCTGGAGCTAGGTGTGAATGTTTCAATGTTAGCATTTGATTGCCTGGCAGTGCCTGGAGCAATCTTTTGTTGAGAGGTGATTAGATGTCCTTGTTTGTTTCCTCTCTGCTGTTGTGCAGAGCACCTGATGAACCAACCTGGACACAACATATTATTTGAGAACACAGAAATGCTGGACCACTCTCACAATCACCATGTCAGACTACACAGAGAAGCCATTGAAATCCACAAGCATGTGGACAATTTCAACAGAAAGGGGGAAACAATGAAAGTGAACAAAATCTGGCTACCAGTATTAAAAACTCTAAAATTAGAACAGCACAACAACAGAGAGGAAACAAACAAGGACATCTAATCACCTCTCAACAAAAAATTGCTCCAGGCACTGCCAGGCAATCAAATGCTAATCAAGGTGGTCAGTTGAAACATTCACACCTAGCTCCAGCAAACAAGAGTCCTTTGTCCCACCCTGGCCATTCCACAGATATATAAACCCTTTTTCCTAGTCCCAACAGACCTCACTACCTCTGAGGATGCTTGCCATAGATGCAGGCGAAACGTCAGGAGAGAACGCCTCTAGAACATGGCCATATAGCCCGAAAAAACCTACAACAACCCACCAGAAAACTGTTGCGCAGCAAGCGGATCTTATCCCCGTCCCATGCACAAGACACTCAGACAAGAGTAGAGATGATCAGAAAAATCTTGACTCTTAATAGCAGAGATGAAACACAAACTTGCAATGTTGCATACAAAAAAACAAACAGTGCAAGAAACTTACACAGTCTTTGTAAGTAACACAAAATAAGGCATCTTCATCTTAAGTCAAATGGGAGAGCAAAACATAAACCTTGAGTAAACAGCCTGCTTTAGAGCAGCATAACGCCTTCTCTCCAACCTGCTCCTCGGAGCAGAGCCTTTGAGCACAGATCTCCTCAGAGAAAAAGCTCTCCAGCACCACCACACTGTATTCTAAAAACCCATACAGTTACACCCTATTGGCTATGGGCCAAGATCCGGGGAGAGGCGGATGAGCTCCCTCTATCAGCTCCAGCTCCTCATACGGGGACATGAGAGAAGCCTCACACAAGGATGATAAAAACATCACAGAGACCTGGCTGGATGAAGCTGGAGGAGTGAACTTGACCCAGCTTTGTCCACCAGGTTTCTCTGTGTGCAGCACCAGCCAAGATCCGGAGGGCAGGGAGGCGAGGTTGCAGTGGTCTATAGAGATTCCATTCTTCTGACCAGGGCCCCCATCCCGCAGTCAACAAATTTTGAATGCGTCCACCTGAGGGTGGGTGACCGGGACAGATTAGGGATTCTGTTAGTGTACCGTCCACCTCGCTGCACTACAGTCTCCCTACCTGAGCTAGCGGGGGTGGTCTCAGGACCTGGCATTGGAGTCCCAACGGCTGCTTGTGCTGGGGGACTTCAATGTCCACGCCGAGACCGCCTTATCGGGAGCGGCTCAGGACTTCATGTCTGCCATGGCAACCATGGGGCTGTCCCAACAGGTATCTGGCCCCACCCACAGTGCTGGACACACATTGGACTTGGTTTTCTGCCAGGGATGGGAGGAAGGTGGCGGTGTTGAGGAGTTGTCCATCTCTCCGTTGCCATGGACCGACCACCACCTGGTCAGCTTTAGACTCACTGCACTTACTGAATACTATTATACCCATTAAGTTGGTCCACCCCAGGAGGCTTATGGATCTGGATGGATTCCTGACGGCTCTTGGGGAATTTCCGCCACCTCGGTTGGTGATCCTGTTGATGCCCTGGTCGCTCTCTGGAATGGGGAGATGGCTAGGGCAATAGACACGATCGCTCCAGAACGTCCCCTCTCAAGTAGCCGAGCTAAACCAGCTCCTTGGTTTACTGAGGAGCGGGCAGCGTTGAAGCGAAAGAAGAGGGAACTAGAGAGCGTGTGGCGTTCGGATCCGAGCGAGCCAAATCGAACACGGTTTGTGTCCTTTTTAAGGGCATATGCCGCGGCAATAAAAGCCGCAAAGAAGACTTTCTTTGCGGCCACTATTGCGTCTGCAAAGAACCGTCCGGCTGAACTGTTCCGAGTTGTCAGAGGCCTGTTAAACCCACCATGCAGGATGGGTGCCCTGATGACTCGGCAGCTCACTGTGAAGCCTTTGCTCAGTTCTTTGCAGACAAAGTCGCTTTGATCCGCTCTGGTCTGGATACCATATTAACGGCAGTCTCTGAGGATGTAACACGAGCATCTGCTTGTCCTATTTTGATGGATTCATTTCAATTGGTTCAATCCGAGGATGTGGACAAGGTGCTTGGAGGAATGAGAGCTACCACATGCATCCTAGACCCCTGCCCATCCTGGCTTCTGAAGGAGGCCAGAGGGGGATTGGCCGAGTGGGTGAAGGTGGTGGTTAATGCCTCCCTTCGGGAAGGCATATTTCCAGCCAGCTTAAAGCAAGCTGTGATAAAACCGCTGTTGAAGAAACCATCACTGGACCCCACTCAATTCGTCAACTATCGGCCTGTTTCCAATCTCCCCTTCTTGGGCAAAGTCCTGGAACGTGTGGTGGCCTCACAACTCCAGGCATTCTTGGTAGACACGGATTATCTGGACCCGGCACAGTCTGGCTTTAGGCCGGGGCATGGTACCGAGACAGCCTTGGTCGCCTTAGGATGATCTGCGCCGGGAGCTCGACAGGGGGAGTGTGTCCCTGTTGGTGCTGCTGGACCTCTCAGCGGCCTTCGATACCGTCGACCACGGTATCCTTCTGGGACGCCTCGCGGGGATGGGTCTTGGAGGTACTGTTTTGCAGTGGCTCCGCTCATTCCTCGAGGGTCGGTCTCAGAAGGTGTTATTGGGAGACTCCTGTTCAACCCCACAACCTTTGTCTTGTGGGGTTCCTCAGGGTTCAATATTATCTCCCGTGTTGTTCAACATCTACATGAAGCCGCTGGGTGAGATCATCCGGAGTTTCGGGGTGCGATGTCATGTACGCAGATGATGTCCAACTCTGTCACCCTTTCCACCTTCTGCTAAGGAGGCTGTTCAGGTCCTGAACTGGTGCTTGACAGCTGTGATGGTCTGGATTAGGGCGAACAAATTGAAATTGAATCTAGACAAGACAGAGGTACTCCTGGTCAGTCGCAAGGCCGAACAGGGTATAGGGTTACAGCCTGTGTTGGATGGGGTCGCACTCCCCCTGAAGACGCAGGTTCGCAGTTCCTGTGATCCTGGACTCATCGCTGAGCCTGGAACCCCAGGTTTCGGCGGTGACAAGGGGAGCATTCGCACAGTTAAAACTCGTGCGCCAACTGCGCCCGTACCTTGGGAAGTCTGACTTGGCCACGGTAGTCCACGCTCTGGTTACATCCCGTTTAGACTACTGCAACGCTCTCTACGTGGGGTTGCCTTTGAAGACGGCTCGGAAGCTCCAATTAGTCCAACGTTCGGCAGCCATGATACTAACTGGAGCGGAGCGCAGGGAGCACACAACTCCTCTGCTGCACCAGCTCCACTGGCTGCCGATCTGCTACCGGGCTCAATTCAAAGTGCTGGCGTTGGCCTTTAAAGCCCTAAACGGTTCTGGCCCAACCTACCTATCCGAACGTATCTCGGCCTATCAGCCCACCAGGACCCTAAGATCTTCTGGGGAGGCCCTGCTCTCTATCCCGCCTGCTTCACAGGTGCGGCTGGCGGGGACGAGAGACAGGGCCTTTTCTGTGGTGGCCCCTCGGCTCTGGAACGCCCTTCCCATGGAGGTAAGATCAGCCTCCTCGCTGATGGTATTCCGAAGAAGACTAAAAACTTGGATGTTCAAGCAGGCATTTGGTTAATTCGGTGCAATGAATGTGTTGATTACGGATTGGTAATATGGATGATGCAATTGGACCACGATTTTAGTTAGGAGATGTATTGGATTGTGATTTACGTGTAATATTGTGTATTATGTTTTTTATGGTTTTAATTGTATACTGTGCACTGTATATTTTGTTGTAAACCGCGTTGAGTCGCCAGTTAGGCTGAGAAACGGCGGTATACAAGGACAGTAAATAAATAAATAAATAAATAAATAAAATCATCCAGGCGTCTCCTGGGCAGACAGCCAATTCTGTCACACCAGAAGCGACTTGCAGTTTCTCAAGTCACTCCTGACACAACAAAAAAATGGCCCAAGATTGCTGGCTGACCTACATTACCAGCTGCATGTGATAATTACCATCATAAGGTTTTTCTTCAACACACACACAAGAACCACGCGAAAGGAAAGGGACAAAATAAAAACATCCAGAGAATGTGGGTTGTTGTAGATTTTTCACGCTGTCTGGTCATGTTCTAGAAGCATTCTCTCCTGACGTTTTGCCTGCATCTGTGGCAGGCATCCTCAGAGGTTGTGAGGTCTGTTGGAAACTAGGAAAAAGGGTTTATATATCTGTGGAAAGCCCAGGGTGGGAGAAAGAACTCTTGTCTGTTGGAGCTACGTGTGGATGTTTCAATTGACTACCTTGATTAGCATTTGATGGGCTGACAATTTTTATGTGTGGCTTGCTTCTGCCTGGGGGAATCAGGCACAATCAGACCTGCCCTGGAAGTCTTTAAAACAAAAATAATGCCAGCACTTATATTTGG